GGGGGCGGGCCATCCGCCCACCTGACCCATTGCTGTATTTGCATGGCTTTTAGGGTGGGGCGGGCTGTAAAGGGATTGCCGGTGATCTCTCTAAACGCACTTCGTGCCCCCCGTACAGCCCCGTACGGCCTAAGGGCCCGGCTCAGCGGCTGCGCGGAGTGTGATGATATGAAAGCTTCTTCGCGCCCCTGACTTTTTGTATTGCTCTTCTCCTACCCTCACACTTGTAGAGGAGGGGTCACCTTGCGCCGCCCTGCCGCCCTGTGCGGCACGACGGGCACGGCCTTCAAATCCAACTTTAAATAGTGTTCTAACGGCCCGTCGTTCCGCGGCTCTGCGAGCTGTCGGGTCTCTCCGCCGCCCCAGGGCCGCGGCCTTGGCTCGGTGCAAGTCCGCAAGAAAAGCCATTGCGGGCCCCGGACCACCAGGTCGCGGGACGCTGCAAGCGCGCTGCTGACCCCCGAGGGCCTCGGTAGTGTGGCCACAGCCATGGAGCAGCGGGTAACCGCCCCGCCCCTACCCCATCCGACCCCGCCCACTACTCTCGTCACGCCAAACAGCCCCGCCGCTGCCGCTACCTAATTCCCAGCGCGCTCGGCCATCACCCGAGGTACTCCCGCACATCCACTCCGCAGTGCCGCCCCGGATCTTGCTGCCCGGCGAGGCAGCGTCAAGAGTGGCGGGACAAAAGTGGCCAAACACAGAGTTTTCACAAAGTCTGAAGTAAAGACATCATTTACCTTATGGTAAGGATTTTACCGGATTTTACACCTTTGGATTTTAAATGCTGATGGCGATAATCTCCCCAAAAATGTATTCATTATTTTTCCAAGATGGATTCTGAACAGTCCTTAGTATGCCGTTGAAGACCGTCAGCAAAGCACATTTTTGACGCTCTTCGTTGCGCAAAAGTATAAATGTCGCGGAGACCTACCTGTTGTTTTTCCCCGTGCAGGACCGGTCTCCAGGGGGATGATGGGTCGCCCTGAGATCCCGTCGCGGCGAACAGTCGCAAACTTGTGGCTCCGCGAGCGTCGGGGTCGGGGGCGGAGGTGGAAGAGGAGAAGAGAGAGGGGGGGTTGGGGAGAGAGGGGCTGCGTTTTAGGGTTGGCGTTGGAGGCCCTGTGTGTCCCCTATCGGGCTGCTGGCTGGGCTGGCAGGGGTTAGGAGCGCCGCTTGGCTGTGATTGTGTCCACTACTCTGTGATACTCCCTCCACCCCCTCCCCCAACGCGGTGCCGCCCGACTACGCCGCGCCACGCCCGGGACATCATCTCGCCGGATCGTAGACTTTATAGCCCAGAAATACGCGTGCGCGCTCATCCGGCGCTCTCGTCTCGTCTCGATAGAGCGGGCCGCCCGACCACTGTGGCGGGCACCGCGCCCCCGCCTCACCCCCGCCGCCCCGCACCACCGCTGTGCAGTGCCATTAAAACCTCTACTTTTTGGATGAGTCACAGTGGCGATGCCATCGGAGGGACGTATTCGGCGCCGGGTTGGGGCCCGTACAGGGGAGTATCGCCGCGGGGCCATCTCCTCGTCCCGTCAGTCAGCGCCGTGAGGACCGCCATCCTCCTCAGGACCCCCCGGGGCCCCTCGCTGCCGGGTGCTGCTCGTGCATCTCTGCGGTGTGTCTTGAGCAACAGCCGTCGTGCCACCTAATCCGTTTCCATCCATCTGAAACAATCATCGTGAAGTGTTGTACTCAATTCACCAACTCTGAATAACCAGGGCGTTATTTGTTTGCATTTGGACTAAAAACGGATGTTTACGGGGAAAGAAACCGTGAAGCGTCGTGACAACGAGCATGTGTCTTTTTTAGCTTAAGCTTTAGAAAGGATTTATGACTGCTTGTTCATACTCCACGAGCATGTGTCAGAATCTCCAAATTGCGATGTTATTGTCGCAATTGCTTCTTTTCAGTGCCGTTTTGTTACTAGATTTTGTTGGCTATGCCGTGAAAATCCTAATTGAATTTGAAACCTGACTTATGGTTTTTCTGTACAGGTGCGGGAGTGCGGGCGCGCCCGCCATGTGACTCGCTGCTGACGCGCTGACGCCGCCGCGCAGCCGCGCCCCGCCATGGCCGCCCTGCTCGTCGTGGGGCTGGCCCTCTCGGCCGCCGGCCTGGCCGCCGCGGGCAGCCCCGACGTCACGCCCAAGGAGTTCGGTGAGTACGGCCGCCTGTTCGTGCGGAATGGACCGCGCGCACCAGCACGCGCCCCGCCCCGCCCCGCCCCCCGTACCATCATTTACTTCCTGCGCGTCAACTTAACCCGCGCGCGCCTCTTCCCTCTCCAGAGTTAGGGAGAGCGTCAGCGAATCAGCGCGCGTCTTGATCTCTGCGGGAGATATATCACTATTTAGGCCCCTCTGCGGGCCCGGGCCCTGCCGGGACTACATCGATCATTCTTCCAGGAGCTGGGCCGGCCCCGCTAAGTTTCTGTGGCGGAGGTCTTTGTCCCGGCGCAGCTCTCCCACTCCACCACTCCGCGCCGGCCGTGCGACAGAGACGCGACCGCCTCATCATTTCCGGCGCCTCAACTTGGCCGCGCGACGACTTGAAGGGAAGAGAGAGACGGAGAGAGGGAGTGAGAGCGAGAGCGGCCCCTCTCACCGACGGCGGCATCGGATGAATGAGTGAACGACGAACTGGAGGCGTTCCTATCTCTCCACGCGGCCGACGGGGGTTGGGTGCGCCCTCGAGGCCCTTCAGGCCCTACCACAGGGTCAAAACCTCCCGCTCTGTAGGTCACGGTGTAGAAGTGCGAGAAGTACTCTAAACCCATGGTATCGATTGCATCGCCAAATAGTTGAAGGTTGACGCACTTCGTTCGGGCCATTCCAGCAGTACAGCATTCGCCCTGCTGCCACTTGCCGCGCCGCCGCTCACAGTCCTACACGTCTGCAACATACCGTTCTCTCCAGTGTGTCGGATTTCCAAAGTAGTTCGCGATGCCTTGTGCCCTTTTCCTGTTCCGACTGGCGCTGGCGAAGGGCTGAGCAGGGCTGAAGGGCGAGTGGGCGGGGCGGCGGTGCTGCGCGTACCCGGTTCGGACGTGCTGGAGTACCATCGCCGGCACGTGACCAGGTGACCCCCGCGCCACGCTTGGTGATTGGTCCAGCCGCTGCCAGCCTTCGGCGCCGACAGTTTGTCGCTGTCCGAGCGGCCAGCTCTGCCCTTACGGCTTCCTCCAGATTGGAGAGTGCCTGAGATCCGAGGTTGGTCGTGTGTGTGTGTGTGTGTGTGTGTGTGCGCGCGTGTGTTTGTGTTGGTGGCAGTGTGCGCGTCCGAGGCCAAAGGGGCAGAGGCCTGGGAGAGGGAGAGGAGGACTCTCTCAAAAGGCGCCATCATCCCATCGCGGCCCATCCCCGGCCTGACCGGCCCATCCGATCTGATCTCGGATCTGATCTCGGATCTGCGCGACGAGGCTGCCTGGCGGGTCAGCGGGGCGACACAACAGCCCCCTCCCCCCCCTCTCCGCGTATCCCCTTCCCCTCCTCCCTCCCTCCCTCTTCTCCTCCCCCTGCTGCCCCCTTACTCCCTCTGCGAACACCCTGCATTTTTATTTATTTTATTTTTCGGCATCCCACTTGTTCTTCTTCCCACTCTCTGACTCCCTGCCTTCCCGGCCCCACTCTCCCCTCCCCTCCCTCTCTCTTCCCATCACCCTCCCCTCTTTACTCTTGCCTTCCATTCCACCTCATCCCAATTTCGAACCACGCGCTGCCAAAGGTCGAAATCACCGCTGTCATTGTGATTGTGTGTGTGTGTGCGTGTGTGCGTGTGTGTGCATTGGAGGAATTCCCTCGAATTCTTCTTTTATCGCTGCGATCGGCGGCTGCGATGCGGTAGGCAAACATGGTGATTGGCAGGCAAGCGTCCCCCTCCCCCTCCGGCCCCGCGAGTAGACCGCACTGCGCCAGGAGCGCTGCGCTCTGCGCCCTGCTGGCCCCTGGCCGCCCTGCCTGCTGTCGTGTTTGACGCGCGAAACTCGACCCCGTGTGCGTGTGCGTTACACCCCCCCCCCCTCTCCCCTCCGTCACCGGGTAGGATTATGCCAACTCCAACCTCAGCTCGACATATTTGCTTGTTCCTTTTGCAATTTGAGAGTATGGGTGGGCCGGGGGAAGGCGTCTCCCGTGTGTACCGGCTCCAACACCCACACACTCCTCTGCCGTCGGTTCCAATCGCGGGATGCTTTGACATGCTCGCCCCACGAAGGTCGGCGCCTCCCCCAACTCCTCCTCACGGCCTGCGCCGGTGTCATGAGGATACGGGCCGTCGTATAGCGTTTTCAGGCGCGGCGTGCACCTTTTCTTCTTGCCGTCTTTGCGTTCCTTGTCAGATTTTGATGAAAATTGGAGCGGAGGCGGGAGAGAGGCCTGCAGGCGGCGGCGGGTGTGGGGGTGCGGCGGCGGGGCTGCGATAACAAACTTGAGAGTAAACCTCTCTTTCTTCCCCGGGCGCGAAGTGGTGCGTGCAGCGTCTGTTTAAATGGAAGGGGGCTGGGGGGACCGGGCTGACGGGGAAAGGGGGCGTCTCGCTCAGCGCTGTCTTGATTTCGACAAAAACGGTGGGTCGTTGCAGCGAGCCGTGAACGACGCCACCCGCCTGCCCGCGGCCACCCACACCACTGAGCACAGCCACCTTTAGGCCGCGCTCCCCCCAGTCCCCTTCCACTCCCTTCTTTCTTCTTCTTCAGTTTGGTCCGCCGCTCGAGGACTCCATCTGGTGAACGGTCGTATCTACTTTCTCACTCTTACTTACTACCCCCCCTCCCCCTCCTCTCGCTCTCTCCAATTTATGTTCTTTTCTGTTGCAAAATCATCACAGATTCTCGGATACAAAATTCTCCTGCGAATCTGTTATCCCATACATGGTTAGGCGACCTCATGAGTCCAAATTTTCTCCGTTTCTTTTAAAGTTTTCGACTGCTTTTACGCTCCTGTTAATGATTAAGAGTCTGTTCCATGCTACCCCTAAATTGCATCGCACTTTCGTTTTAAAAATTGCTAGGTTTTCCTCGAGCGATAAAAACAATCAATAACTCTTCAATATTATGTATACGAGTGTAGCGCTGTAGGTACAACGCACCGAAAAGTCGTCGCTCAAAGTGTCACGGTGGGACGCGGGGCGGTGCGGCCGTTTGCGGGCGGCGCGCTGCGCCTGGCATCTCGGGGTAGGCAGCCCGGCGGGCCGCGGCGCGCCAGGTGGTGCCAGAGCCCCAGGTCGCCACAGGTGCTCGGTGGGCCCGGGCCCGCCTAGCGGCCGCGCCACGCGCCGCGCCCCGAGGGAGGGACGCCGCAAAGGGGAAGAAATCTCTGTTACGTTCGCGCCGTCGACTTGACAAGCGTGAATTACAGCGCCAGGCCTGCTGGCACGCTCCGCACCGCTGGCGCTTCTGAATTTTGTCGAATGCTGTTGTTACGATTAAAGCGCTTCGAGACGAGGGTGGGCGTGCTTTCGTAGAAATGGTGGACTAATGAAGAAGAGATGAGTCAGAAACTACTTCATCGCGTTTTATTTTTCTTCTACCTCCCCCGACCTCCCTTTTCGTGTATTCTAACCGAGAAATTTAAACTGTACGTATGTTAAATTTATTTCACCATTTGTATAAGTATGTCATACTTGCCACTCCCGTGCCTCTCCTGAAAGCCTGCGAGTATACCAACTCATTTTTAGAAAAACATGTGGGGTAGGCGCACGTTTTAAGATTGAGCAATATCTTTTTGAAAATAAGACATGAGCAAAGAGCGAGGCAAAGGAGCAAACTGTAGAAAATACAGCTTTGAATTTCGCCCTCAAAAGAATGCCAAATTTTAGCTATCAAAAAATAATGCCGATTATTTTTCTTGCAAAGCTGCCCGTGGCTTCTGTAGTATTTAATACTTCTTTCACTGGACCCGGTGTCAGAAGTGTCGAGTCGAAACATATCAGCCGAAGCGTTTGCAGCAGTGAGCAGTGTAGCAGTTTGTGGATTGTTCGTGGAGACGACGCGCCGGTGGTGCCTGTGGGAGGGGATTTATTCGGAGCGGCCCACTCCACACGTCGCATCTTATTTTAATTTTCCCGAGTTTCCTTTTGGATCCGTCCTCTTTACGTCACCGCTTGCAGGCCAATATATCACGGTGGCAGCCCAGCCGCACTCTCTAGCGCCTTCTCTCCCCCTGCCCAAGAAAAACAGTGAGACTCGCAGTGTCGGTGTGTGTGGTAGCGAAGAGAGCCTCGGGGAGAGCAGGGCCGCGCGGCGGGGCAGGACCGCCGGCGATGGAGAGAGAGG